GAGCACACCATAGCACAATGATTCCAAATAAGAGGAAATAGTTAGCTTTTTCTCGATCAATCACAGTCTCATACCTACCATCTATCACAAGAGCGTCTTGTCCTTAAAGGGATATTCTGGCGTAAATTTAAGTTATGGTCAAACACACCGTAACACCAAGTTAGACACCCCCGAGAGAGATGAATGTTGCCGACCGCTTGCTTCTCTAGTTATACCAACTTTAGTAGCGACCACACGATAGCAATACCCAGCAGTCGAAATCTCCACGCGCAAACAGCAACCAAAACGCCACTTTGTAGCCACCAATAATGCTCAAAACAGCACCTAACTTCATCAACAGTACATATAGGGTCCCAGCCGTAGCACTAGCCACCAAACATCTTCTTAGCTTTGCCTAATTTCTCTAGAAAAGAGACTAAACACAACTCACCTACTCTCTTCCAGCAGCAGCTTGTTTGTAGGGGAGCCCTGGCGAGTCGATAACAGAGTGTAGCGGAGTTTCGCAGCTCAAGGAAGAACATTTATGATCATTTCTTCATGGAGATGCAATCAGACTGAGACGCTAAGGCAGAAGAACGAAAGCGTCTGCAGTGCAAAAATGATTATTATGATGATTATTACTACATGGAAATGTTCTTCCTTGAGCTGCAGAACTCCGCTGCACTCAGTGATCAACTTGTCAGGGCTCCCCCACAAACAAGGAAGCAGTCGGCAACATTCATCTCTCGAGGGGGTGTCTAACTCAGTGTGTAATAATAATAATAGTATAATAATAATAAGTAATTTAATAATTACAGGGGTGAGCAAGGGAGCATCTTGATCTAAACTCTGACCAAGATATCACTTCAAATCCCCATTTCTTCACACCACACCATTAGAGCTGTGGTAGCTGTTTTGCTCAGCTTGCAGCCCTTATTCTACGCTAAACTAACAAGCTGCTGGCTGTTTTCATTTTTTTCCACATAAACACGAGAAGTGCATCAGCCTCCTTGGTGAACTCTTAACATTCATTAAAGGCTGATTTAATGATCCAAACGAGGGAGACAGAAGTCCTTTCAAATTTCAAAATAAAAGCCTCGCTGTCATTTTTACGCTAACCGAGTTATTAGATGAAGAACTGTTATGTGATGAATGTAGAAACTGTGAAGTGTGTAATCCTCCTCAAATACTGAAATGGGCCACATCTTAAGGTTTTGTTAAATACAGCTATATAATTAGAGCTCAATAAGCTGTTCAGTGGATTAAATCCTTTGTCAGCATCATTAGCTTCTCTAATTATGTGGAGGCAAGGGCTCTCTGCCTATGTGATCCAAGTTTGTTTTTTAAGATAACTCGCATATATAAACAAGTGAAAATCTAAAACTCTTTTCAGTGGTTTCAGTCGAGAGGGTTTGATATTACAATAAAGGGTCCGATGTTGTTTTTTAAGTGAAATATGACTCACCAAAGAGCAGGCAAAGCTTTTATTTAGGGTTTTGGATTCAAATTCTGGAGCAAACAAATTCAGATTTTAAATATATTTGTCAGCTGTGGTGGCAGATAAGCCAGTGAGAAATATTTTACTTTCTTAACTCTGGCGTCTGCGTGCCTCTTCTCCCACAGCTGAGTTTGCACTTCAAAAGATTCAGCGCCATATTTACACACCAAACCTCCTCATTTCCAAGACACTCGATATGAAGCCACATCTGAATTTGACGCGCAAAAATAAACAGCAAGAGTAGAGTCACTTGAAGTAAGACAACACTGTTCAGAAGATTTTAGATACCTGATTATTTGGACTTAAACCTGGTCTGTATTAAACTCTCTGAGCTTTATTTGGCTCTGTACTTCCTTCTTCCTCGTCCTTTTTTCCTACTTGGTTCACATTATTAATCTGTTCCTCGCAGCCTCTCAATCAAAGACTCTGTAACTAGCATGTCTGACTGTTGTCATTGTTGGCAAATGCATTAGAAAAACATTTAATAGGCATTCACTTTCAACCTCTCCATCTGCTCCTGCTGTTTGTTTGCACCCTTTTGTTACCATGGCACCTATCTGCATTTTTCATTTGCTGCTTTATCATGTGGCCGTTCCCCACTTTGTGGCTCTGCAGATATAATTCCCCTTCATACAGTTCATTTCATGGTTTGCTTTGCTCTTTGCGTCACCCTCAGGGGTTGCTCTCTCACAGAGTGATTGTAGGAACCTAAAGCAGGGCTGAGGAATGGGCTGTTGGAAAGCTTCGACTGCACAATCATGGTGTGAGACCCACAAATCCTCTGCAAAAAGAGACAAGGGTATATCATTAACACATCTTAACAAAGGAGAATCATATCTTGGCGACGCTGCCTCTGGCTGTATTTGGTTGAAACGTAAAACTAGATGATTTTTGAATCTTTAAAACAAAATCTTGGACCTATCAAATGCTGTTTTCATGCCCTAACTTAGGATGATGTCTGAACAATTTCATGGTATGTTTCATATTTCAAAATAATTCCCAGACAGTGACGTTAAATTGTCTAATTTTTCAGATTTCAGTGCACAACAAGAAATTGTCTATGTCAAAACTATCCCCGTGTTTTGAAAGTTCTCCATTTGGTTTTTACTCTGCACAGGAGATTGGCAGGTTGAATTCCAGAGTTGAAGTAAAATCAGTGCAAAAGTGCATAAAAACTGCAGTTCCTTGATTGTCCACTTGAGTCTGGGTCCAAAACCGAGAAATCTTCGTTAACTTTTATGTTTAAATGCCCAGTTAAGGTAGGGTGACCATACGTCCTCTTTTACCCGAACATGTCCTCTTTTTTGGGGGACTGTCCGGCCTTGTCTGGCTTTGTCCAGGGAAGTTTATAAAATCCTTCAAATGTCAGCGGTTTTGTACGGAAGTTTCGAGTTTGTGTCACATGGACTTAATGAGTTACAAACGCGTAAAAGACACTCGATCCAACCAGGAAAACCCTCAAAACTAACTTTGTGCGACTCCGTGACATCGCCCCTGCATAGTTGTGTCCTCTTTTTGGGGATTTAGAATATGGTCACCCTAACCCGGGATTTCCACTGCATCTGGAATAGCTCCGATCTGGAACAGCAGCGATTTTCCAGCACAGGTTAATCTGTGCTGAATTTATCCGGCATGCTCCGGCGTCTGGAAAAAATAGAACTCTTGCGATCAGCTGCAGAGTCCGGCGATCCGCAGTGGAACGGAAAGAAGCCGGTGGAAATTGACACATTGACTTGAATGGTTACGATCAGCTACGATCGGCAGATATGGCCTCTTCGTAGCCGTTCCAGATGCGGTGGAATTTGGAGGTAGGCTTAGGCCTCTTTATTACCATGCGCTGCAGTTTTTAATGCTTCTTTTTCTTACTTTTCATTCATGTTATTGTCGTATTTTGTACTTTATAAAGCATGAAATTGTGTTCCTTATCTGTAAGTGTATACAAACTCATGATCTGCCCTCTACAACGATATAAAAAGAAGTCTGTCATTGACTTCATGTGCTCTCTTTTCATGCCTGGGGCCTGTTGGCACCTTTTACATCATCTGAAGAGTGTTTATATGTGCTGTAGCAGCACAAGTGCTGTAGCTGCTGACCTACAGCAGATTGTTTACATATTAGAGCGGGCCTGATAAGTGATTCTTATCCTGTACGTTGAGCCTTGAGGTTTGATTTGTGTTACTCTTTGCCTTTGTGTTTGAAACCATAGGATGATAAAATGCCAGTGGGCTTCCGTTGAATAAATTAGAAATGATAAGAACATCAAAGATAGTTGGAAATCCTGGGATGTGTTTTATTAGCTCCAAGCAATGTGACTTTGTTTGTGGAACCACATGGTGGGGAACGGCATATGTGGCCGATAAACAGTCCTCTCTAGGTCCACGTCCCATCCTGCCGTCGATAGTGGAGCGTGAAGTGGATGTGGCACTCCTACTTTTTCAAAACAAATGAAAACCGCTAACATCACATCAACGTACCGGAAAAGAGTTTGAGTCCTTGCCTTGTTCCGCTCAGCACTGGCAGAGCATGAACGCCGCGAACAGGAACTTCCTGGCACGGTTGTGTTATTGTTGCAGAAAATGAAGAGGGTGTGAGCCAGGTACACAGACTTAGTTCAATAAAGCTCAGACCAAAAACAGCAAATTGAGCGGGAAAGGTTTGAGAACGAGCCAATGCTGAGTCTGGGAGTGCCCTCGCATCGCTTCTTCCAGTGTATATTCTGTGCTTGTTTTAATATTTGCAGGTATGCATACAGAGGAGCAGCTAATGAATAAACTGTTGAAAGACAAAAGGTCATATAATTCATGACCATTACCGTAAAGTACAGAAAATGAACAATCATGTTCTTGTTCCTAACACACACTTAATCCAATACGGAAAGCAGAAAAGAGAGTTGGAAAGCTGAATAAAGTCGCACAGACAAACTTTATTAGAGTACTTTGGAAGAGTTTATGAGTATCTGTACTTTAAAGAAGTGTGTTTTTAACAGTTTGATGCACCAAATAGCATAAAGAGTTGAACCTGTGAGACGAGGGGTATGGCACACCTGCAAACATCCCGTTTTTAAGGGTGACCATTTTCTGAATCCCCAAAAAGAGGTTACGACTATGTGGGGTGGAGTCACGAAGTTGTGTGTAGTAAATTTTGAGAGTTTCGGGTCAGATTGAGTGTATTTTACACGCTTTTAACTCAGTACGCCCAGGCGACATGGACGAGGATTTTATAAACTCCCCCGGACAAGGCCAGACAGCCCCCAAATAAGAAGACATGATTGGGTAAAAGAGGACGTATAGTCATCCTACCCATTTTCCCAGGTTCATAGCCATCTCTTGCCACCTCCTGTTTCAACACCTTGAAAACTCACTGCCCTACAATCTCATAAAGAGTCCATTAACATCAACACATACAGTTTATTTTTTACACCAAAATACCAACGTTGTCAGACTGTCCACAAAGCACAATACAAAATATTAATGCACAATATATACAATTTAAACCTCCTCTCTCCCAATCGACCTGCAAGGGGTTGCTGCTAAAGTGAGATTGGCAGAGCTAACAAAGCAGTATCAATTTTACACTTTAAAGCAGAAAATATCCTAATAGCACGACTTTAAATGTCTGAGTTTGTGCATTTTAATTTTAGAAAGACCTCTTTGCAACTGGAGCATGTTCCCTTAATCTGCCACCGTGAGAAAAAACTCATCTGAAAGACCAAGAAATGCTAAAGTTCTTGAAATCCGCTGTTAGCAAGTCTACAAGGTGCTGCCTTTTTGTTTGTCTATCCTGTCGTTGGCGTGTTACTGATTAGACGCGATGATTCAAGCTGCATGCCATCAGCTGATTAAGAGTGGGGTGTATGCGAGCCGTGCCCCGCATAATCAAGCTTCATTTACATTTTCAAAGTAGGTTTGTTGTTGCTGAAAGTGTTTTCATTTCGCATTCTAGCAAACTCCCCTCCTAGCATGAAGACTGGCACAATATTTATATGGTCTACATGGTCTTACCTTGAATATGACAGCCAAAGAGACATAATGGGGGGATAAAATCATTCCCCTGCAGCGCAGACGTAGCAGGAAGTAGTAAGAGGCGTTAGCAGAGGTGAGACAGGATCACTGCAAGCCAGTGGAGCAGGCAGGGTCTGTATGCAAAGTATGCTAGTGGTACTATGAGAACTCTCAGTATATTCTCATGGCGCCACTGAATAATGCTGTTGGGGTTTGATTTTCTCATCCATGTGTTCGGCTCAATCAGATTGTGCCACGTGAATGTGCTCCATTTTTTTTTACACAAGTATAGCGATAAGTTTCATTAGCTTTGCACAGAATCGGTTGGTAGAAAACAATCCCCCACTTCTTCTACTTTTCCCAGAACCCTTGTACGCACATGTATCTATACTTCCGCGGGAGTGAAGACCATGTTTCCTTGTGTCACCTCTGTAAACAGGAGGAGTCAATCCTCTGCCAGTTTACAGTATCGCCACCCGAATCTCAGGTTTGATGGTTCAGCTCATGCCAGCAGTTCCCAGAACATCTTTTCTTCCATGTGGGAAAATTCAACCTCTCATGAGATTCCAGGGGTATTTGTTTTCACCTACTGTCACGTTGACGGCTCACCCATTCGGGACGGATCAAGCGGGATGCCAAAATCCGCTGTCACGTCTTCACGCTTCTTGAGAGACATTTCCAGAGGTAAACACTGAGAGGAAGCCGGTCCGGTTCAGGATGTTCACATGGATGTTTGGAGGAATATTCCAGCCCCCTGAAAGTTTGCGTGGATATCTCGAACATCTCGGGTGATTTTACATGACACAGTGATCCCAGATGTGGCCTCTGCGCCGTTGTTGCCCAGCGCTTTCTGTTAACCCGCCTGGGACACACGCCACTGTTTTGGTCGTAAGAAACATGGGTTCTCGTTTTAAGCTAACGGGTTGTTTATACGGGCTTCGCCAACTGGATCCGTGATTGCAGGCCACTGGTTTATTTTAATTAGCCATGGTGAGCAGTTCCGATGGATTTCGAGTGTGACTCACCCCTTTTTCAAAACATTAGTCTCCACCGAGTCCCACTGTTGCCCTTTGAGGTTGGGTTTCATTTCAGATTAGTATAAAAGAGGGGGCATTCCCGATGTGTGCCGTGTATGGTATATATTTGGCTGTGTGTGCTTTAATGTTTGCGTTTGAGACTAAAGGAAAGTGTTACTCCTGCGAAGCCTGTGATGAAAATTTAATTTAATGAACTCAGGGACTTCTCTTAAAATGTTCCCCACACTGAAACCTACAGTTTGATCTTACACGCTCGGATTTAAAAAGCACTCAGACGGTTATTTTTGGACAGTAAAAACTGGTGTCTGTGACTTGAAAGAAAAAAAAAGGATTTACTCACGAGAGCCCAAACATCTGGTTTTCTGTCCCTTCTCCTGGAATAGAGCATCTTTAATTGTAAATTTGATTTAAATAGATTTAATTTTACATTCAATTAACTGCAGATGAGGTGGCTGTCCAAGTCATCCACAAGTCAAAGTCAGACTCCCAAATGTCAAAGTATGCTGAGTCTAGCAAATCCTGCACATGAGGGGAACCCATGCAGGGAAATCAGACCTCTATACTGGAGATAGTTGTCTCAAGTGGGACTTCAAGAAGAAAATAAAAGGTTTGATTATAATAATTGTCAAGAGAGATCTGTGCAGGACTCAGGATCCAATTTTTTTTAAATTAACTTTTCATTAAAAAGGAAAAAGAAAATCAAAATTATCAAAGAAATATGAGGTACTACTTTGCCCGTGTGCATCCGTTGGACATCCTGGTCAGAAAAATACAGATTATTTGATACAAGGAGTCATTTAGGTCCCATTTATACGTACCTGGTTATTAAAAAAAGAAAACTGAGACATTAACTGTCGTTTGCACCCTTTATTTAGACGCAAACGGAGACTTCACCCTGAAAACGATTGTTTTTAAAAACTCCAGCCAGAGTGGAGATTTGGGAAAACTAAATTGACATTATTCTGACTTTCCAAAAAGAGGTTAAACAAAGTTAATTTTGAGTTTTTTGGGTCTGCTCGAGTGTCTTTTACGCGCTTCTAACTCAGTAAGTCCACTTGACACAAAATTTGAAACTCTCGTACAAAACAGTAGACATTTAAAGGATTTTATAAACTTCCCCAGACAAAGCCGGACAAGCCCCAAAAAAGAGGACGTATGGTCACCCTCGGAAAACTCTGTTTGCATGTAAACAGAGAAAAACTGAGATTTGGGTAGCTAACGGCAGATTGTGCGCCAGAAAGAAAGAAGTGATGTTGTTGTTGTTGGTGCTGCTATGCGGGATTCTGATTGGCTTGAGCTTCTCGCTACACTGCCACCTACAGGTTTGATATGCTTTTGACGGCATATATACACGGGTTAGTGCAGACAAAAACGTTTCTGAAAACTTAGTGGTGTGCACGCAGTTTTCTTTTTTTGGAAACGGAGAGGATGAGATGTCTTTTTTGAAAATATATCGCCTAAATCTAACAACAAAGGTGCTAGGTTGGCGACATTGAATGAACACCTTTTAGATACCCGTTTGTTGATAATATACTGAAACTTTTACGCATAATTGAGTCAGTGTAGGTTGTATTGGTGCTGCTTTAAACTGTTCAGGATATAAAACCATATTCATATTCATACACAACAACTATCTTAATCGAACCATGACCTTTTTTTTTGTAAACAGAGAGGGTGAAATGTCCGTTTATGACAACAGCCGGGCAGCTTGCATACCCAGACAAAGGAAAGGCAGCTCTTTGTCATCTAAAATACTTACATTTTTCCTACACTTACTTGTTTCTATTGAAGCAGAATAAAGCGTGATATTCATATATTTTCTGTATGTAGCAGTAAGAAGTTCAAAGATACTATGACTTTAAATAGTACTCTTTGCTTCGCATGATAAAGCAGAAACCTTGGAACTGAAACATCATAGCGTGGATAACATTTGCGTCCATGACATTGGTGGTTCGTTTCCACTGCCTCTTTGATGGAGCGCATTAAGTGAATCTAGTTTATTCAAAACACATGAGCCGCACTCGAACGGCGAAGCCTCAGCTCCAGACTCGCAGTAAAGACGTCTTTTGATGTTACCACATCAATGCACTCAGTACACAAACGGAGACACTTGCAGAAGGAAAAGTGTGCCCTGACATTTTCCGACTTATCACGAGGTATCAGGTTGCCTTTGTGTACATTTGCAGCAGCTTGATGTTTGCGAAGTTGTCAGGGACTTTTTACCTCATCAGTCGAAAGATTTCTACTGATAGTGTCGTTCTTTTTACGTCTATTCTGGTCCTGATATCTACATGCGTAATATTTTTCCCAGCCTCTACTCCAGCCCATTGTCACACAGGAGTTGTAATGATTCGACAATCCTTTACACATCCATTGAGCCCTGCGATATGAGTTACCATGTGCAGTTTTTCCCGGGAAACGCAACTCCAGCTATGTCATCCTTACTCCGCGCTTTTATTGTTGAAAGAAAACAGCACACTCACCCGAACGCCTCTGCAGAGCACCTTTTTAAACACTCATAACTATTATAAGCTGCAGCTGCGCGGGGATCGGTTACGTTCTTTATCTCACCTTGTAGAGCTTTTCCGAATGAGAGCCATAAATTTTCCCTCTCCTCTCAAGAGTTTGTGTATTTCAAGTCCTTTTTTCAAATTTATTTTCTCCCAGCTGTGAACAAATGATGAAGAAAAAAGAAAAAAAAAGAGTCAACAAATTAAAAGTCTACAGGGGAAGGTTACATAAAACAGCGTTTGAGCGAGAAAGCAGCCAAAAACATACTCATACGCTCGCAGCACTCTAAAAAGGGGAACAAAGAAAAAATACTGGCAGACAGATTTACAAGGACTGCCAAGGCTTTTCTTGTTAATTTAATTCAGTTATTAAGCGACATTAACACCTTTTAAAAGATGCATCAGAAGCACGAAATCAGAAAAACATCACAAAGAGAGGTGATTTGGAAACGGAGAGGAATTATTTCAGTCAAGGTAGTCAGCAAGTTTAAGATGAACCTAGAACTAGAACCTTTACGGTGTTAGTCAGCACAGAACCCTCGTATTTAAACTAAAGAAATCACCTGAGAGAGATGTGTGTCTTTCAGAGCCTGTTAATACATAAAATAGGAAAGGAAAGTTGCCTAAATATCTTTTAACTCTTCTTGTTCGGTTTAAGAGAAGTAGCTAAAAATGTGTAAAGAAGTTGTGCCAACATGTCACAATCTCCCAAAAATTTGGGCTACCAAACAAAATGATGATAAAACCAGATTTTGATGGTTTGCAAATAATGTCAATGCTATATTTAATTCATGGTTCCTACACAGTTGGAATTTACACACTATTCCATACTCTATTCTTTAGAATTATTTTTTGGAAATACCTACTTTTTTATTTTAGAAAACAGTATTTTAGAACTGTGGTAATAGTCTAGAAACATAAATATTTTTCTGTACTTTATTTTTCATTTTTTTTAAGATCTGGAAATTGATCATATTTATTTCCATACTTGAGTAGGAACCCTGCGAATTGATAATGGCGCAAAGATGAAAAATCAAATGTTGAAAATATATCCTAGAATTCGAGCCAGTAACACGTTTGAAGAAAGTTGGACAGGAATAATAAAACACTGGAAGAAGTGTGTGATGCTAAAAACCAAGATTTTTCACCATGGCTGAGTTTGAAAAGAGTATTTTAAGGAGGCTAAGTCTTGAATTAAGATGAAAAAGGGGTCACCGCTCTGTGAGAGAGAATTTGTGGATTTCATCATCTGTGGCATATTATACTATTAAAAGATTTACTGAATCTGGATACATCTCTGTACAAGGACAAAGCCAAAAACCATGATCTTCAAGGCCTTTTGGGAGCACTGTATCAAAAACAGATATGACTCTGTAGTGGAAATATCCCCATTGGTTTAAAATCTGTCACATGCCAGAGTTTAACAAAAGGGAGAGGACCTAATGCAGATTAGTTTAAAAAGAACTAAATGAAAAAAAACAGCAAAAACTTTCTTCAAAATGTCCAACTGAAAAATCCAAAGGGCAAAATCAAACAAAAAAACACAAGGAGGCTAGGATTCACACATCGACTAAGACTGACACACACACAATTAACCAACAAAGAAACAGAGAAAGATGGGGACTATACACACACACACAGGGAAACGAGCAACAGGTGAGGCTAACGAGACACAGGTGAAACTCATGAGTGATTAACGAAGGAGGGAAAACTAAGGAAGTAAAACCAGACTAGAAACACAAGGAATCGACTACTACAAAATAAAACAGGAAATAAACACTGAAAACTGATCTAAAGAATAAAACACTGAGAACATGAGGGAAACTGGGTCAAACACAAACTGAAAACTGACAAGACCTGACTACTAGAGGAGAACAGAAAAATAAGGGAAAATACACAAAGCACACTCAAATAAAACCAGGAGAAAACTAAATAAGGGTCACATTCAGGGTCACAACTCTCAATAGCACAACACAGCTCTCTCCTGCACTTGTTTAGAGTCTTTGCTTTTATACAGCTAAATTAAACTGCAATTTACTGACAATAAAAAGACAACCATTCAGGAAAGAAGTCAGACTGCACTCAAGAATTTCAGAAGGCAGAGAGTATGTCTTTTTTTTTCACATCGATAGTTTTTTGATCCCTGACTCATCCAGCTTGGCACATTAAACTAACAGCCTACACACTGAAACAATTAGGAGAATAGTATGGGCTGTTTTAACAGCTGTAGATCGGGGGAGGGCAGGGTGAGAGAGGCTGCAGGATTTTCGATGAATCGTGGAGTGCCAAAGGAGGAGAGACATATCACAGCGGCGAACGTTCCAGTGACAGAATCGGTAAATTTCAACGTCTGACACGTGAAAAACAAAATATTTTTGAGAGATGCTGATTCTGTCTGTGTGCTGGATTGGTCACATCTTTGACATAGAGGCGCTAACAAAATTTAGGATGACTTCATGTGTGTCTACTAAACTATAAAACCATTTCTAGATTTTTTAAGGCATTTTAAGACAGGACAGCTGAAAAGGGACAGGAAATGTGAAGGGGAAAAGATGGTGTGCGGCAAAAAGTTGCAGCCAGGAGTCACCCAGCGCCCACTGCAAGGACTATCGCCTCAGTAAATATGGCTCGCTCTCACTCCAGGGCCAACTGGCACCCAAATTAAGACTTTTAGTGTGTCATTGTGACCCTCAAAACTCAAGACGTTTTTAAAAGTTAAAAAAAAAAAAACTTTTATGTCTTTATATGTATAACATGGACAGCTGGGGTCTGTAAGTAGTATACTATAGTTAATGTTTAAAAAAGAGTGAGACATATTGTTGGGGACAATACATAAATAACCAAGCAATAACCTACCAATAAATGACCAAGCAACCAGGCAAAGGACAAAGGTGTGGAAAAAGATCTTTATCCTTTAATTTCACTTAATTCCAATTTTTTTTAATTTCAAAAAAGCAGAAATAAAAAATAAATATCCAAATTAATGA